GGCCACCCGTGTCCGTGCTGGCCCTCCCCGGCACAGAACACGGTCCAGGGCGTGGTGTACGACTTCGTGACCAAGCAGGTGTTCGACATCACCATCATGATCCTCATCTGCCTCAACATGGTCACCATGATGGTGGAGACGGACGACCAGAGCCAGCTCAAGGTGGACATCCTGTACAACATTAACATGGTCTTCATCGTCGTCTTCACGGGCGAGTGTGTGCTCAAGATGCTCGCGCTGCGCCAGTACTACTTCACCGTGGGCTGGAATGTCTTCGACTTCGTGGTCGTCATCCTGTCCATCGTGGGTGAGTGGGCGGCGGCGGCAGCTCAGGGCGCCGGGCGGGTCTGCGCCCTTGCGCGCCGGATGCCCTGGCACACACACCCTGCGCCCCGCGCTCCTTCTGCGGGCACAAGGGCACCGGGGCAGGCCCTTGGGCAGCCTGGTCCTGCACACGCAGGTGTGCGTCTCCAAACACCCAGGTGCTTGGCCAGGCGCGGCGGCTCACACTTGTCATCCCAGCACTTGGGAGGCCAAGGCAGGAGGACTGCTTGAGCCCAGGCGTTTAAGAGCGGCCTGGGCAACATCACGAGACCTCATCTATACAAAAAATAGAAAAATTAGCCGGGTGTGGTGGTGCACTCCTGTAGTCCCAGCTACTCGGGAAGTTGAGGCGGAAGGATCCCCTGAGCCCAGCAGGTCGAGGCTGCGGTGAGCTGTGATGGGCCCTGCCCTCGTCTGGGCCACAGAGTGGGACCTTGTCTCTAAAAAACACATCAGAATGAAGAAACACATGTCCCTGGGCAATAGCCACACACTCAGGTGTCCACAGATTGGGCGGAACGCGGCCAAGATGGTTCTGACCCCAGAGGGGAGGTGTGTGGCCCTGTGGTGAGAGCCACGCACGCTCTCCACACACGGCCTCGCTCGCTCTCAGAGCACCTTGAGGCGGTTCTCGCCATCACCCCCACTTCACAGAGGAAACTGAGTCACAAACACACTCACCTGTTCCCTCACACACACTCCCCTAAGCTGTCTGCACACGGCCCGCCACCCCCAGCTCCGCCAGACCAGCCCCGGCCCATGACCCATTTGGGCCATGCCCCAAGGGTCAAGCTGCTGCCACCCCGTCTAGGGTGGAGCACACCAGGCTGGGCCGCCTCCCCAGGCCCAGCTCACCCT